AATAATAATAATAATAATAATAATAATTTGCATCATGGAAGCTTTTGTACTTATAAATGCAGCCTTGTAAACTTGAATCTATTGATTCTTAGAAATTCATTGTTAAATTTAGAGGTGAATTTCTCAAAATTCTATTTCCTTTTTCTTTTTTGTACTGTCTCAGCCTTCCGAGTGCTGGGATTACAGGTGTGCCCCACCACGCCCGGCTCCAAATTCTATTTGAAGGCATTGCATTTTGTTCAAGGTTAGGGAGTCGGGATGTGTTAGGGCAAGGACACAGGTGCAGGATTCATTGCGATGTCCACAGCTGCTGCTTGTGTGTACTGACGACTGCCAGCCGGCGCTAGGTGCCTTGTGTACACCAGGGACGAGCTTTACAGAAACACCCAGAGCAGGCAGGGATGGGGTCAGAAAACAGAACCGAAATGATCTGCTCAAGTTCACAAGCTTCCTCTCTCTCTCCCTCTCTCTCTCTCCCTCTCTCTCTCTCTCTCTCTCTTGCACTGAACATTTCAAATCCTTCTATTATTATTATTACTACTGTAATTTTTTTCTGACGAGGCCTCATTGGATAGTTCGGGCTGGCCTTGAACTCACTGTTTATTTTTTTATGTTCAGACACACTGTTGCTAAGTTGCCCAGCCTGCACTTGAACTTGTGATACTCCTGCCTTACCCTCCCAAAATGCTGTGGATTTGCCTCTTTTTAAAAAATCCCCTGTCTGGTGCTGTTTCAGAAAGATGACCAGGTCAGGCAGGCATGGTGATGCACATCTGTAATCCCAGCGCTCAGGAGACTGAGGCAGGAGGATTGCTGTAAGTTCAAGGCCAGCCTGTGCTACACAGCAACACCCTGTAGAAAGAAAGAAAGAAAGAAGGGGAAAAAAGGAGAGAAAGAGAAAGAAAGAGAAATGACCAAGAAAATGCTTTTAAAGAAGAGCAGAAAGAGCCCGGCATGGTGGCGCACACCTGCAATCCCAGCACTTGGGAGGCTGAGGCAGGAGGATCGTTGCGAGTTCGAGGCCAGCCTGGGCTACAAAGTGAGCCCAAGGTCAGCCTGAACTGCATAGAGAGACCCTGTCTCAAAAAGACAAAAAGACCAAAAAAAAAAGAGCAGAAAGTCTTTAGGTAAGCATAACACTGTTGGAGATGAAGGCCTCTTGCAAGGAGTTAAGTGTGCAAGAGAAGAGAACTAAGTATGAAAAAAGAGAGTGAGATACTAAGTATAGCAGCTGTCACCTTGATGCCAGAAATGGATTGAACAACCCACTAAGCATCCCAACCTGATGGATCTCTTTTTGTGGGGGGTACGGGGAATCAGACTTAGGACCTTGTGCTTCCCACGCAGTCTCTGTGCTGCTGAGCTGTATCCCCAGCCCAACTTGACGGGTCTCAATTACTGACTTTATAATACTGAACTCATCTGTTTGGGACCAAGGGAGGAACTCAGTCGTGGAATATATGCTGAGGCCCTGGGTTTATCCCCAACGCTGCAAAACAAAAACCCGATAAACAACTAGCCAGCAGATATATACTATCATCTACTATCAACAACATAATGTTCTTTTTCTCACAGTATTCATGTTTAATATTAAATTCTTTATTTATTTATTTATTTTTTGGTCTTTTTGAGATAGGGTCTCACTATGGAGCTCAGGTTGGCCTTGAGCTCACTTTGTAGCCCAGGTTGGTCTCGAACTCACAACGATCCTCCTGCCTCAGCCTCCCGAGTGCTAGGATTACAGGCGTGTTCCACCACGCCTGGCCTTTCTTTTTTCTTTTTTTTCTTTTAAGGAGACATGAGAAGGATTCATTAGAGGGAGATACAGGATGCAGTCAAGAGTGGAGCACGGATGCTCAGAGAAATGAGGCACAATACAGTGGGAAACAGGATCTTTTGTGTATTTTGGGTGGGGGAGTCTGTGGAATTACGATGAAATTCTGTCTATAATGTTGGTATTAAAACAAAATCAAGAAACAAATCTGCAAGAGGAGTGTAGGCCCTTATTTAGGAAAGGAAAAAATACTTTACATAAGTGATTCATACATAAATTGACACAGAATTGCTTAGTGCTTTCCTTTAACCTTTAGTTTTAATTTGGCTTAACCTTTAGTTTCAGGTTTAGCTATGCCTTCCAGTGACTCTAGTGACAGGGAAACTGTAAATGGATTTGAGTTAAATTCTTGCAAGAAGTGAGCATCTGCCACGGAAAAGCTGTTTCTTCAATATAAAGGGTGAAAAGAGCAAATTAAAAACTATTCTCTAATAACCAAATGTAATTAAAAGGCATTGTCAGATGTATGTGTTAGTACCTCAGAGACATTGGTATTTCCTGTTCCTGAAATGAGATCACTGATTCAAAATATATATATATATGGAAAATTTCCCTAACCTGCTTTTAATTTTGATGTTATGATATAATTCACAGAATAAAATAGAAATGTGTCTCTCAGGGATTTGTAAACACACTTAAGGTTTTGTCATGAAGCAGCTTCAGGCAGAGGATTCTTTTTTTTTTCTATAATCAAGTATTGTTTAGAAAATGGTAATATTTATTAAGTCCCTTGGAGCGGTCTCAGTGTTACAAATCAAAACCCCTGCACAACCCTTTTTTTTTCTCCTAGAGTAGTTTAGTTGCTTCATGACAGTAATTCCAAAGAGAGGCCATCTGTCCATCACTGACCGCCCTGCGTTCTCCTTGTGGAGGGCCTGCGGGCAAACAGACAGCACTTGCCATGTGCATGGTCCTGCTGAGCCTCAGTTCTTCCCTTCTCGGAGGGTGAGAGGAGATGAGGGACCTGAGAAGTGATCTCCCTGGGCTGCTGGCTGGTGGACTCAGGATAGCAGGGGCTGGGCTAGTGGCTCACATATACAATTCTTTCCTTCCTTTTTTTGGAGGCAGGCTGTGTAATTCAGGCTGACCTTGAGTTCACTATGTAGCCCGGGCTAGCCTGGAACTCACAGCGATCATCCTGCCTCACCCTCCCAAGTGCTGGGATTATAGGCATGCATCACTGTGCCCGGCCCACATTTACATTCTAAGAGCAAGGTTACTATGGTGTCCAAGTCCCTGATCCAGCTTTTCTTTCCTTGTCCTCATCCCTAAAGCAGTAATGATGTAACAGTGAGAGGTTGGTGGCATGTCGAGGGCTGCAGTGATTGATACATACTTTATTTAGGAATTGTACTCTGAATGCATCTGCATGGAAATTACAGAGAGGATAGAATAATGATGCTTTATGTCAACAAAAAGTGGTATCAGTTTTAAAAAATACAACTCTAGATTGAAAGTAGCAATAACGGGATTCTGCCGTCTTCCTCTGACCTTGAGAAAGATGTAAGTTCTCTGCATGTCTCTTCTCTTGATCTTGCATGGCATGTGTTTCCTAGTGAGGTGTAGACAGGGTAGCCTTTGCGAAGAGCTCTAAACACCTTAAAGCACTGAAATGCAGTGTTGTCCTTACGGTGAAGGAGGAGGAAGAGACAGATCTTCATTTTTCCTTAATCTCATCTTTCCAGATGCCGGTGGGGCCTCTTGAGCGCCCTCTGTCCCTTCGGGTGCAGCGGTGGGGAGCTCCGTGTGGGGGTGCGGGAAGAATGCTTTCTGACCCCTGAAGCTGCCCTCTCAGAAGTCCCCTTTCAGAAGGGGCGGGTTGACACCCCGTGCGTTGTGCTGGGGCGTGCAGGGTCTGCTGGTGGAAGGAGGCGCCTTCCTTCCGGGGACAGCCATGCACTGTGCGCCTGCCCGCCTTGCCTTCTCCTTCACACAGCCCGCGGCCCGGGGCCCAGCTCCTCTGACCTTCCTCCATGGGAACGCAAAGTGACGCCAAAGCGGCCAGCATCGTAGCCTCCTGAAGCCGCTGACCTGAGGGCCTTTCGCAGCTGTCCAGGGTGTGAGCAGTGGCCGCTGGGCCCAGCAGCCATGTCCTTCAGCGCCACCATTCTCTTCTCCCCGCCCAGCGGCAGTGAGGCCAGGTGCTGCTGCTGTGCCTGCAAGAGCGAGACCAGCGGGGGCAGCACGGGCTCCCAGGGCAGGAACCCCCCTCCCAGCACCCCTATCACAGTGACGGGCCACGGCCTGGCCGTGCAGAGCTCTGAGCAGCTCCTGCACGTCATCTACCAGCGCGTGGACAAGGCCGTGGGCCTGGCTGAGGCCGCTCTGAGTCTGGCCCGGGCCAACAACGAGCTGTTAAAGCGGCTGCAGGAGGAAGTAGGGGAACTGAGGCAAGGGAAAGTGTGCATCCCCGAGGAAGCCGGGCGCAGCCAGGCCCACAGCCCCCCACCCGAGGAGCCGGGGCCCCTCAAGGAGAGCCCCGGCGAAGCCTGCAAGACTCTGTCTGCTGCCGAGGAGGAGTGTGACAGCGTGGGCAGCAGCGTGCAGGTGGTGATCGAGGAGCTGCTGGGGGCGGCCTCAGCCGTGGGGCCTGGGCCCCTGGGCTTCCCAGCCCCTCAGCGAGACCTGCGGCTTCCGGGGTGCCCTCTGGCCGCCAGCGAGGGCACCCCCCTGCTGCATCCTGTGAGTACGCAGCGGTGCAGTTGCTCCCGGCCTGCCTCGCCCTCCTTTTCTCTCTGTACCCACGTTCATGCCAACTGTAAGCCTTTCTTTTATTTGTGAGGAAACAGAACGGGGCAAATTTCCCCCGCCCTCAGGCACACGCAGCACTCCGGTTTCCTTCCTAACCTCCAGCCTCTTGGGCAGGTGGCCTGGGGGGCGAGGTGGTGCTGGTGAACCCTTCCCTCCCGCAGTTGCTCAGCGTGGCACCTTCTCCCTGCAGCTGTCTCGGTGCCGCTCGGCTCTGCCTCTCCTGGCGAGAGCGCCTGCCATGCACAGACGGCTCATTCATATTTTATCACGGGCCCTCTGCCTGCCAGGAAGAGTTGGGATGGCGAGATGGGGCTGGGGAGGGGTAGGGCGGAGAGAAGGAAGGTGAGGGAGAGGACAGGGCAGGGATAGAGAAGGCAGGAGCAGGGAGGGCCGAGACAGTAGAAATGAGAGGTCTGAGGAACAGAACAAGCAAAAAAGCATAGAAGAAAAGTGAGTCTGTGTGGAAAGAGGAGGATTTATGTGGGGGAAGGATGATGAGGTGGGGGAAAGGTATAGGGAGAGAAAGGGACACCTGGAAGCAAATAAACAACGAGAGGGTGGGCCGGAGGGGAGAAGCAGGAAGTGAAGGAGCCCGCGAGCATGTTCGGTGAGCAGGAAAAGACATGGCGCTGTTTCAGTTTCTTTCCTGCTCAGGGGCCGCATGAGTGGGAAACCCTGGCTGAGTAGGGCAGGAGCTGCAGGATGTCACACACGGCTGCATGAAGAGATGGAGCAGCTACAGGGATCGTAGAGACGGAAACACCAGATGTGTCAGCGCTTGAGAGCTGGCAGCGGCCTGTCAGCTCTCTGCCCTCTGCCACCCGCACCCTCCGCTCCCTTGGGCAGGGCTTCCATGCCCGGGAAGGAGCACAGAGCAGAATACACAAGACAGATGCGGGGGAAGACCCCCAGTCCATCTGCTGGGGCTGAGGAGTGAACATAGGAGGGCCCCTCTCCTCTGCGGCCTACCCGGCCACCGACCCTTGCCCTCCCACTGCTGCAGCTGTGTGGCAGTTGTCACTGCTGCCCACTCCCTCGGCGGTGCCTGGTCAGGACTCTCAGTGGTGTGGGCCGGGGCGAGGAGGAACTGGAAGGCCGTGGTCAGGAGGTACCAGGCCGGGCAATGCCCTGAGCCGCAGGTTTGCTAGGGCAGGGAAGGCTTCCAAGCCAACCGATGGAATTAGATTTCACAGTGCAGAAAGCAGCTCACAGGCCTATAAATCTCAGCCACCTCCCCCGCGTCTTTCTGTGTGTGGCTCCCCCCCCAACTTTCACTGTTTTGTTTTCTTGGCTGCAGAAATTCCCCCCTCCTCTCCTTCTCCCTCTCAGCCTCGCTCCCTCCTTCCTTTTCCTGTCCTGTGTGTCCTTGAACGAGGGCACAGACACTCAGCTGGATGTCAGGGCCGTGACAGCCCACCATGGCCAGGCCAGGATCAAGGTGGGGCACAGACTGTCCCTCAGAGGGAACGAAGGGCAGGCGAGGGGAGCTCACCTGTGCCCGCCTCCAGGGACTCCTGACGGCGTCTCCCTGCTTTCCTCTCATTCTCCTTTTATTTCCCTGCATTGTTGTTGCTGCTACTGTTTAATTTTCTTGCTCCTTTCTTGTTTGATTTCCCTTCCTTGCCATCACTTCCTTCCCTAATGCCTTTTAGACAAAACACTCACCTGCTGCACTTCTATACTCAAGAGCAAACCATAAACAACTGCTCACAGAGCGTCAGAAACCTGCCTCGTCCTTGGAAGCAGCCCAGTGCTAACAGCCCAACAGGAGAGACCCTGTACAGTATGCCAGAAACCCCTTGCTCACTGAGCCCGTAGGAATCCGGAGCAGCAGCCATCGAGCATCAAGGACTGCTCGGTTCCCCTCTTTCCCACTCTCTCTGTTCTGGTCTTAGCCAAGGAATGGTGCCTAGCTAGGTCCCCCTGTGCGTGGCTAGCTAATTGTCCATTCATTTTTCTGTTCTCAGCTGGTGGATGATTATGTGGCCTCTGAGGGTGCAGTACAGCGAGTGCTGGTCCCTGCTTATGCCAAACAGCTTTCCCCAGCCACACAACTGGCTATCCAGCGGGCGTCCTCAGAGACAGGGCCAGAGAACGGGGCCAAGCTCCCGCCGCCGCGCCCTGAGGACGTGCTCAGTGCTGCTGCTGTGCTGGACGGCACCTTGGAGGAGTCTGGCCCTGGAAGCGCCGGGGACCTGAGACACTCGCTGGGGCTCACTGCTTCCCCGTGCAGGCCCCGCGTGAGCGGGCAGAAGAACTCCAGGCGAAAGCGGGATCTGGTTCTCTCTGTAAGTGAGCTCTGTTTCTGCAGTTTCTTTTCCTGCCGACTGGAGAGAGGAGTGAAGCGAAGGGTGGTGGGTCTGAAGCCTCGCATGTGGAATGAATGGCGTCCTTCGCCCTGCTGGCGTGCAGGAGCCGGGAGAGAGCTTTCTGTAGCCCGAGGGACAGGCAACACATTTCATATCAGTCAAGCTTTAGGCTTTTCTAGAAAGGGTAGTGTCTTCCCTTTCATAAGCCGGGAGCCACGTCAGGGCTCCCTGTGTTCCGGTCTTGAGGGGAACATCTCTAAGGGGCGGAGCAGATAATCACAAGCGTGTTGGCCTGGGCAGAAAAGTCAGGCTGCCCTGTGGTGGCCCCACACCCCAAGGCTGCAGGGGGCCTCTGCACTCAGCTGAGATGGAGGTTTGGAGAATGTAGTCCTTCCCAGAGCCAGTGGGAAAGGGACTGGCTTAGATTCGGTCTGCAAGAAACCTTCCAGTGACCAGGAACACCCTGCTGCAGTGGGCGCTCCCAGCCCGGCAGCTCACCCAGACCTAGACATCTTCCAGGGCTATACTTACCAACTGGTGGCACTTTTGCCCCCAGGGAACACTTGGAGCCCACTGGAGGCATCTCCATGCGGGGGCTGATGGAGGGAGGGCAGAATACTACCGGCATCTAGTGGGAAGAGGCCAGGTGCTCTGCCGAGCGCCTTCAGGACCCTCCCGCGCCCAGCTGGCCCGTCAGTACTGCAGGGCTGGGAGACTTCTTGTGGCCACAGTCTTGTGGATCAATTCTGCACCCCAAATCTTCTTTCCAATAGCCAGGGAGATGTCCTTTAGTCATATCTCTGTTGACTGTGATGCCTTTCCGGTCGCTATATAATAACTGGTGTGAAGTAACTGGAGAGTCCTGGCTGGGAATGGGTGTCGTCACTCACAGCCAACCTAGTTCCATCCTGCTGTATGGCCCATTCCTTTCCTCACAGTTGGAGTAAAGCTGAAAAGGTCATCATTCATATATCCTTTATTTGTGCTGCTTTTGTCTTTCTTCTCCTGAGAGCTCTTTTTTTTTTTGTCTTTTTGAGATAGGGTCTCTCGGTGCAGTTCAGGCTGGGCTTGAGCTCACTTTGTACCCCAGCCTGGTCTTGAACTTGCAACGATCCTCCTGCCTCAGCTTCCCAGGTGCTGGGATGACAGGCATGCACCATCATGCCTGGCTTGTTTTGTTTTGGATTGGTTTTTTGAGACAGAGTCTCTGTGTGGTTCAGACTAGCCTTGAACTCACTAGGTAGCCTAGGCAGGCTTTGAACTCACAGTGATCCTCCTGTCTCAGCCTCTAGAGTGCTGGAGTTACTTACAGGTGTGTGCTACCACGCCCAGCTGAGAGATCTTATTCTTGTTCTCCCTTTCATATGATTTGTTTTTGCATCCGATTCTCGTTTCTCCCGGAAGACACCATTCATTATCAGTATCAACTTGTTTCCAGTCTTCATTTTGAATTTTGATTATGTTCAGGGACATCTTATCAAGAACAGGGGTGAGGTTAGCTTCTGTCACAGATCTGCTGCCAGTAAAAGAAATGAAGGAATAAGCCTAGAAATGCATTTCAAGGGATTTCCTGAGAATTCACTGTATTTAAATCATAAGTAAATATGTGTCCTAGCACACTCAGGAGGCTGAGGCGGGAAGATCATTTCAAGTTTGAGACCAGCCTGGGCTACAAAGTGAGCTCAAGGCCAGCCTGAACTGCATAGCAAGACCCTGTCTCAAAAAAAGACAAAAAATAATAATAATAATAATAATAATAATAACAAAAACAAAACAAACCAGTAAATATGTGATAATAATAATCTGTATAGAATCAGGACTTTCCATCACTTCCATTCCAGGCCTGTCTGTCTCCAGAGAGAAGTGTAGTATCGAGAATTGGCTTTGTCTCTTTTTTTCCTGTTACTAGAGACTGAACTCAAGGCCTTGGGTATGCTAGGCAGGGGCTGGACTGCTGAGCCAGCTCCCCAGCCCTGAGACTCGGCTTCTTCCTTCCCTATGGAGAGTTCAGTGGATCTGGGGACCTTGCGGCAGGACAGTTGCTTGTTCATCGTGTTCCCTATTATCATGCTTGAAAAGTATCGGGGGCCAGTTGGAATTTTTCTGCTCATTGTAGAACAAACTTTAAAGTATTCTTGTGCTGGACTCTGGGTCTGCAGGGGGAGGGTTCGTTGCAGTCTTTACTATCTGAATCTTTAGCTCTGGTTAGGAATCAAAGATTCATCTGCCGGGGCTCCTGTGGATTGCTGCTAGGATCCCATGAACCAGAAAGACCAAGCCAGAGCGCTTAATTCCTTGGAATGCTGCAAGTCCCATCCACCCCTTAAGGAAATGTATTTATTTTTAGCTCACTCAGGAGGTATATGAGCCAGCAGCCTTTGCAGCCTTAACACTTATTGTCTGGAGTATTTTCCCTTTCCACTTCAAGCCTAGTTTGATTTTTATCACTTCATCTCTTCCAAGCCACTTGAGTTAGAAGCTATGGAACTTCCTTTTTTTCTTTTGTTGGAAAACTCTCTCAAATTCTTGCATTCCCCTATTTCTTTGTCAGTCCTTACACTTGGACATCTAAGGGGATAAAGTAACTATGTCAAATATGAAGCCAGTATAATTACAGTCCTTATAGAGTGGAGACTCTCACTGTGAAGAGCTAATAGTGTTTTCCCCAGCTGTGTGGCTGCCCAGCCAAAGAGGCAGGAGGAGAAGCTGGGGATTTCTGGATATGGAGCTGAATCCTTAGGTCAGAACATGAATCTGTCAGCTTGGAACTGGGTAACTTCCACTGACACAAGATTTTGGGATGAAATATAATCAGAAACAACAAAACTAAATCTAACTGAAGGAAATGTAAAATTCTGCGTTAAAGTACAAGTTGCAGAATGAACCCTGTAGTATTATAAATAGCCATGGGGTTGCTAAAAGTGGTAGCCCCTGGCATGGTGGTGCATGTGTGCCTGTAATCCCAACACACTCGAAGCTGAGGCAGAAGTATCCTGAGTTTGAGTTCGAGCACAGCCAGGGTGACTCAGCAACTTAGTGAAACACTGTCTCAGTATAAAAAATACAAAGGGCTAGCTAGAAGATTTCAAAAAGCCTGGGTTCCATCCCAAATATTGCATTTAAAAAGAAGACGGATTAAAGACTGCACTATCTTGGTTTTTTAGGGAGCAGTGTTGGTTTTTGTTTTGCTTTGTTTTGTTTTTGTCTTTTTGAGACAGGGTCTTGCTATGCAGTTCAGGCTGGCGTTGAGCTCACTTCATAACCCAGGCTGGTCTCAAACTCGCAACAATCCTCCTGCCTCAGCCTCCCATGTAGCTGGGATTAAAGGCATGCACCACCATGCCCAGCTCTGATGGTATTATGAGCAAAATGGGAATCAGATTTTGGAGGATCTGATTTTGGAGATAAGGCAAAACTTTTTACCAGTAAGCTGGGCTAGGTGGTACACATCTGTAGTCTCATCACATGGGAGGTGGAGGCAGGATGATTGCAAGTGCGGGGCCAACATGGGCTACATAATGAGGCCTCCCTCAAAAACAAAACAAAATACCTTTAAGGTGTTCAAGATGAGAATAATCTGGCTCAAAAAGGAGATAGGTTCATTAGATGTGTATGAGCAAAACTGAAAGGCAAAACAGCCCGTTTGGTGACACGAAATGCAGTTGGTGATGGGATCCTCAATATGCTTCCAATTCCCATTCCTGTTCTTGTGGATTTTTGTTTTCAGACCATAGTGTGTGCCTCAGGGACTAGTGATAATGTGCAAAGGATATATGAAGCCACGGCCAAAGCTGGACATTTTCCTGGGTCATTAATTTTATTAGAATATTTCAGAAGACATTTTTATATTCCAAGAAATATAGATAGAGCTTAAAGAAGGTTTTAAAATTTGCAAAAGTACAGGGTGCCAAGAATTGCTCACTCATTGCCAGATGTGGTGGTGCATGTCTATAATCATGGCACTCTGGGAGGCTGAGACAGGAGGATTGCAAATTTCACCCAAAAGACTGGGTTGTAGCTCAGTGCTACAGCTCTGAGTACTGGGGTGGCGGGTGGGATGAGGGCTCACTTGCAGTAGCCCAGGTATATATTTTTGCTTGGTCCCTGCTACTAGGTGCATTTTTGTGGAAATTTTTGAGACCCACTGTTGCAGTGATGACATTACTCAGAAGCAGAAGTAAGACCAGGGTGATTCTGGAGTCTTGACCCAAATTAAATGAAAAGGAGAAAAAAAATGCCCCATTGGTTAAGCTCTCTGGCTAAGAAAAGCATATGCAAAGATGGGATCTAGGCTGTGGAAAGGATTCAGGCAAAGAACCCCATAGAACCCCACAGGGACAATGCTCTTTGTGGGGTGAAGGGCCTGGGGGTTGAATCCAGGGCCTTCACACTGAGCTATATCCCAGCCCTGTTTATGATTTAGTTTGAGACAGGGTTTTGCTAAACGGCTAGATTGTCCAGGCTGTGCTGCAACTCATGGTCCTCCTGCCTCGGCCTCCCACAGTGCTGGGATTAGAGGTGTGCACCACCACGCCTGGCCGGGACAATGCCTTTTCGCCCCAGGGATCAGAGGAGGGTTTTCACTGTATCCACTCCCGGCTTGAGTCTGATGTTTTTCTTCCCTCTAGAAATTGGTCCACAATGTGCATAACCACATCACCAATGAGAAGAGGTTCAATGGGTCGGAAAGGTACGGTTCCTTGTCAAAAGATCCCTGAGCATTTGCCAAGGAGACGGAAGTGGGAGGAAGCTCCAGCACAGCGACAAGGCTGAGGCCTGGCTCTCACGGGCCCCTCCTATGGTCTCTGAGGAGGAGGAGGTCTGGCAAAAAGCTGCCTGGTGCTGGGTGCTTCTGTCTGCTCCCAAAGGGCTGACTGCTGCATCCATTCTGTCCTCTGTGTAGCATCAAGTCCTCTTGGAATATTTCAGTCGTGAAGTTCCTTCTGGAAAAGCTCAAGCAGGAGCTGGTGACCAGTCCCCACAATTACACGGACAAGGAGCTGAAAGGTGAGCCGAGGCGCTCACTCTGCAGTCCCCTCTCCCGTCCGCTCCTCTCGCCGGTTGTCGGTTCTCCATTAGAAGAGGAGACATAACAGGCGTGATGGAGGTGCTGCTGAAAATGGTGCATTTGAAAAACATTGTGGGTTTTTGGCTGTTCTCCTCAGTTACAGTGCACTTACAGGATTACCTCAGATTGCCTTTTTATTCCTCTGCTCAGTCTGAAATGAAAATGGGAGAAGAAAAGGGCTAAAACACCGTGTCTTATGTTTATGTAGGACCTGAATCTGAGGTCAGAAGCCAGGCCTGCCTTTTTGTCCCTAAATATTAGGTCCCTGGGTTTTCTTTTTCTTAGCTTTTCTTTCTTTTTTTTTGCCGGGGGTACCAGGAATCGAAATCATGACATCAGGCTTGCCAGGCAAGAGCTTATGCCACTGAGCTACATCCCTGGCCCTTTCTTTTTTTTTTTTTTCTTTCTATCTGTCTGTCTGTCTGTCTGTCTGTCTTGAGACAGGGTCTCACTATGCAGTTCAAGCTGGCCTTGAGCTCACACTGTAGAACAGGATGGCCTCTAACTTGCAACGATCCTCCTGTCTCAGCTTCCAAGTGCTGGAATTACAGGTGTGCACCAGCATGCCCAGCTCCAGGTTTTCTTTCTTTGCTCACTTTTGTTTTTATCCCTAACCCTGAAGTATTATGAAAATTGTGCTGAAAATACTGGAAATAGCTGTTGGCAGAGTGGCAATAGGGATAATTTAATGTGGGAAGCACTGCAGAAGCAATGGGGTTGATTTTTTTTTTTTTTTCCTAGTATAAGGATTGAACGCAGGGGCTCTCTACCACTGATCTACATCTTCAGTCCTTTCTAAAGTTTATTTTAGCTGGGCATGATGGTGAACGCCTATAATCCCAGCACTTGAGAGACTGAGGCAGGAGGATCGTTGCAAGTTCGAGACCAGCTCATGGCCAGCCTGAACTGCACACTGAGATCCTGTATCAAAAAAGACACACACACAAAAAGGTTTATTTTAGCTGGGTGTTGTGGCAAGTGCTTGTAATCACAGCATTCAGGAGGCAGAGACAGGAGGATCTCCATGAGGTCAAGGCCAGCCTGAAAAAAAAAATTCTTTTAAATTGCTCAGGCTGGGCTCAAATTTGCAATTCTGCTACCACAGCCTCCCACGTAGCTGGAGATTACAGAGCTGTACCACTATGCCTGCCCAGCTAGAATTACCCTTTTGCAGATGGAGATACTTGGGCATTAGCGCTGGAGGTGGGCACAGGGTGCGAACCCTAAGAGCTCTAGTGAAATGCTGCTGGTTATGCCAAGGAAGCCCACTGTCTCGCAATTCCAGCCTCTCGTTCAGCAGTGTGAGGGCAGAGACAAGGGCTGCTCTCGAGGACCCTACCACCTGCTCTTTCTCCCGTCCCCCAGGAGCCTGTGTGGCGTACTTCCTTACCAAGAGGCGCGAGTACCGCAACTCCCTGAACCCCTTTAAAGGTCTGAAAGAAAAAGAAGAAAAGAAGCTTCGCAGTCGCCGATACCGGGTAGGGCTCTGGGCCTTTCTCTGAACATGCCAACCCCTATTATTTTAATTTTATTTTTTGTGGTGTTGGCAATTGAGCCAAGGCCTCATGCATATTAGGCAAGTGCTTTGTCACTGAGCAATATCCGTAGCCTTTAAACTTTAAATCTTTTTTTTTGGTACCGGGAATCAAACTAGAACCTTGTGCTTGCAAGGCAGGTGCTATGCTGCTGAGCTACATCCCGAGCCACAAACTGTAAATCATAACAAGTCTAGTGGGAAGGGCCAGAGAACAGGGTATCTGAGACTAGCGCTGACCACCAGGAGTGTAGGCGGATGGAGAAGGAGGGTGAGCCAATTCTAAGATATGACCCGAGGACTGGGTTTCCTAGGCACAGGGTTTACCTGCTTTCTTCCCCACCTAAATCCTTTCTCCAGTTGTAATCCAGTCTGTTTTTCTTCCTGCACTCTGTCCTGGGCCCCTTCTCAGCTTTTTGCCAACCGGTCCAGTATCATGAGGCACTTTGGCCCTGAGGACCAGCGCCTGTGGAAAGGTGTGACTGAGGAGCTGATGTCGGATGAGGAGGACAGTCTGAACGAGCCAGGTGTCTGGGTGGCCCGTCCACCCCGTTTTCGGGCCCAGCGCCTCACAGAGCTCTGCTACCACCTGGACGCTAACTCTAAACACGGCACCAAAGCCAACCGCGTGTATGGGCCTCCCTCAGACAGACTGCCTTCTGCGGAAGTCCAGCTCCTTCCACCAGAGCTTTACAACCCTAATTTCCAAGAAGAAGAAGAAGAGGGAGGCAACGAGAACGGACCTGTGTCCCCACCTTTTGACCAGTCCCACAAAACCTGCTGTCCCGACTTGAACTCATTCATTGAAATCAAGGTGGAAAAGGATGAGTGACGTCTATAACCAAGAGTAACTCTGGCTTCTGCCACTCCTGCCTCCCAGAAATAGGCAGCCATGGGGCTTCTCAAAATAGTAAGATGCCCTCTGCAGTCTGAGAAAGCAGATTTGCCTCTGCTCTTAACACAGCCTTTAGGGCCAGCGATGTAGCTCAGCGGGTCAGCACCTGCCTGGCAAGCGCGAGGTTGTGAGTTCAAGTCCCTATGCCAAAAACAGAGTTTCCCGTCACCACAAATATGCAGTGGGAATAACACACACTGACAGTTTTTGGTGGAATAAAAGAACTTCTGTAAAAGTGGGGAAAGTGAGAACCAGCAAATGCTTATTGCTGAGCACTCAGTGTCTCGGAGGAGCCTGGGATGAGGAAAGGAAGACGGGTCTGAGAGGCATGAGGCACTCCTGACACAGGTCTGGTCACTGAGTTGGTTCCCTGTCCCCGCCTCCCCTCGCACCCAAAGCTCCTGGCAGCAGCCTTGGTTGAGCTTTTGCTTCCCCAGCACCGGCCTTGCTCTGCAGTGGAAGATCAGGCCAGCCCGGCACCATACTGCCACCTGCCGGGCAGTTTCACCCGTGGACGTGATTCTGAGATGTAGATATAATAGCTGTTGTTTATTGAATCATATAAGGGAGATTTTATTATTCCCATCTTGCAGATGAGGAAATTAAAGAATAAAGAATTCCCATGTTTCACTGGCAGCTTTTCTTCTGCTTTATGGCTATTTTTCAGTCCTGTCAGCCAAGCTGTATTCTGGGGAAGGTGTATGCACACACATACATGGACTGAGAAGTAAAATGGCTTCATGCTCAGTTATACAACAAACATTAATTGCTTTCTAGAGGTGATGTACTATAAGATTATAGGATCAGGTTCTACTGTGTCGTCAGGAAGCTGGCACGGGAGTAGGCAATGATGTGGACTGTAACAAGGGTTCCCATGGAGGGTGCAGCATGCAACGGCAGCCAGTGCACCCTTGAAGCCACAGAAAGCTTCTCAGAGGCAGTGATATTTAAACTGTTGCCTGAAAAGTGAGGAGGATTTAACCAAGAGAAGGGAGGAAGCCAGGAAAGTGTTTCGAGCAGGTACAGCAGACACATGGTCCACAGGCAAGAGAGTACAAACAAGATTTAATTTGTTGGCCGAACGTGGTGGCACACGCCAATAATCCCAGCACTCGGGAGGCTGAGGCAGGAGGATTGCTTAGAGTTTGAGGCCAACCTCAGCTACAGAGTAAGTTTAACGCCAGCCTTAACTGCATAGTAAGACCCTGTTGCAAAAACAAAACAAAACAACCACCTTAAAGAGTATAGCTGTTATTCAGGGCAGTGAAAAATCACTGAAAGGTTTTAAGCAGGAAAAAGAGATATCAGTGTATGTATGAGGAGAGTCACTTTCACGCTGGGTGTAACACAGACTGGAGGAAGCTGCCCCAGCTGGAAGACTCTTGCACTGGTTCAGGAGACAAGATGGTGGCCTGACACTGTATAGTGCCAGTGAGACAGGACAGATTTCAGATACTTAGGAAGCAGAACTGATTGACAGGACTTAGTGATTTGCAGGATTTGAGGTTAAGGGAAGAGAACATAGGGTTGGTGCTCAGGTCTCTGACTTAAGCAGTGAAGTGGTTACTGGTGCCATTTACTCCAGGAATGCTGGAGGAGCCAGTTGTAGAAAGTAAGAAAGGTGCTGGTAGTCACTGGAGAGGTTTTGGTGCACATGCGTGCATGTGTGTGTGAGTGTGTGTGTGTGTGTGTGATACTGGGGACTGATTCTGAGGCCCTGAGCTACATGCCTGGCCCTTTTTATTTTTTATTTACTTTCTGTAACACGGGGGATTGAACCCAGAGCCTTCACACTGACCTAAATCCTCATCTTTTAAAAATTTGAGTCAGGATCTCTAAGTTGCCCAGGCTGAGCTCTGAGTGCTGGCATCACAGGTATATGCCACTATGCCTGGCTTTTGTTTTCATTTATTTTATTTATTTATTTTTCCTTTTTATTTTTTGAGAGAGGATCTCACTGAGTTGCCCAGGCTGGCCTCAAACTTGTGATCCTTCTGCCTCAGCCTCCTGAACAGTCCTTCGAGTTTTTCAGTCTAGGAGAGTCTGGGCTCGAGCTATGAGAATCATTTGCGCATGTGCACCATGATTCCAGGCCTGGGCATGATGCGGGGCCGTGGGGTCCCAGTGCGAGCTCCCGTTGTGGAGTGGCTATCGCGAGGTCATGCACACTGTGGAGTACACCGCGTCAGGGCGCCCCACTTCTTCACCCATCTGCTTCCCATCACCCCTGAAAAGGCAGGTTGTTTATCCCAACTGTCCATTGCTGCCACCACCAGCTCCAGGGTAGGTCTCAGTTTTCTAAGATTTACTCTCTCATCCTCATCCCAAAGGATCAAATGTATGTAACTGGGAGAAAAATCTAGGTTCTCTTCTGTCTGGAGTCAGGAAAGGCCGGAGACCCTTATTGTTAATTCTGAGAACGCTGCTCACAACAGGTTCTAGATGTAACCTGATAGCGCCTCTCTGGAGCTGGTGCTTTCGGGCTGATAGGAAACTCCCCCGGACCTGCGGAGAGCCGTCAGCTTGGCCTGGTAAACAGGGTGATTCTCAGGGGAGATGAGGTCCTAGTAACAATGCAAGTTGGATGAAGGAGCCAAATAATTTGTGCCAAAGTAACTCTCCTACAGGTATTAAATCTTTCTTTTTCCCTTCTCTAAGGAAACACTAATATTATAAAAGGTGTCCAATCTGAGATGAAAGTAATACCCCTGGCTTGTTTGGGTGCAATTTTCATATTCATTTACTATCTAAATACAAAGGAGTCATTTTCATTCTACAGTCTACTCCCTCGGCCTCTTGTCCTTGACATGCTAGTCTGGAGAAAATCCTCTTGGTCAGTGTTTAGCTTCGGCCAGGGTATTTTCCAGTATGGTCAAGATCTTTTACAACCGGTTGTTTTCACTTGCTATCTCCTCGAACCAACTGGTACTTGCTTTTCTCCTAATGCATACTCCTGTCACCAATCAGTGGGGAGGACTGGGGGAGGGGAGGTGCTCTCCAGCTCTAAGACTAGACCTTCCATCCCTTTAGTCACCTGAAATATTTGCTAAAAATCTCATTTCCCAACACCAGGGGGTGTCTGTCTAGCCCTGTCTTTTCTACCCTTAAGGTAACCATTAGTCCCAAAGCTTTCTTCGATGCTTGTATGTGTACACACTCTGCCTCCGCCCCAGGTGTGCTCCAGTCCCAAACGGTTCGCTCCCTCCTTTTGACTGCTTTGACCAACACGTAAATACCGCGCTCTTCCCCGCCCCCCCCCGCCTCCCCCATCACAGAGCTCTGGGTTCAGAAAGCACTGTCTTTTTATTGCAGCTTCTCCGTGTTTCTCAAGCGCCCCAGATCACCCTGTTCTTTTCTTTGTCCTCCCACACTCCCATTTGCCCCAGCTTTCTCTTTTGCCGTCTTCCACCTCCCCATGTGGGATTCCTCACCCTTCAGGACGATCTTTACTTCCAAGTCCCTGACCTTTTACGTATCTACCTTTCTCCTTCAGCCCTGTCTTCCCCCTCTACGCTTCTCTCCCTGACTCGCCTCTCCTGTACCAGCTTCTCTCCATCTCCCACAGTCCGCACATTGGAAACAAAGTCACGGTGTTTGCGCAGAACCAGCCGCCCAGCGCCCCGTCCTGGTTCGCGACATTCCACAGTGCCCCTCCGCGCATTCCAACTGCAAACAAAGAGTCCCCCTTCTCCCTCCCCCTACACTCTCTCGTTCCAGTTCCTGGGTATTGGGCTCCCAGCAGCCCAAACTGGCCTTTGGCTTCCTCTACAGTCCAATCCGCAAATCTCCACCCCCATGCACTCAGCTCCCAGCGCCCCCCGCGACGCACCGTGGATCCCTGCGCAGACACCCCCAGAGCTGCAGGACGCACCGCGCTCCGCCCTTCCAGGAAAGTAGATCCGGCCGGGCAGACAAAAGTTTGGGAGAGAAGTTCCTTTTGAGCCGAGTGTGAGCAGAGGGGGCGGGGGCCCGGGACGGTCTGGCTGTCGGGTCGGTCGACGCGTGAGCCCATAGACCTGCGGCCGGGACTACCCTTCCAGACCGCGTAGCCCCAGATGCGCGAGGGGACGCGGCCCCTCCCGCCGGGGGATGCTGCGGGGCTCCCGGCGCCAGGCACCTGGGCGGCCCGCTAAGCCCGAGTGCCTGCCCTGTGCCCCCGGGGAAGCTCAGTCCCGCCGCCGAGGCGCTGCAGGGTGCCGGGCGGGGAGGGGGCTGGGGGCCCCGGGCCCGAGGGCATGGAGCGTTTAGGGGAGAAAGCCAGTCGCCTGCTGGAGAAGTTAAGACTCTCGGACTCCGGCAGCGCCAAGTTCGGCCGCAGAAAGGGTGAAGCCACCCGGTCTGGGTCTGATGGGACCCCCGGGCCGGGCAAGGGGCGCTTGAGTGGGTTGGGGGGACCCAGGAAAACAGGGCCCCGAGGAGCCACCGGGGGCTCAGGGGATGAGCCCTTGGAGCCGGCCCGGGAACAAGGGCCCCTGGACGCCGAGCGGAATCCGCGAGGCTCCTTTGAGGCGCAGCGCTACGAAGGCTCCTTTCCCGGGGGACAGCCGCCCACCCGGGCCTTGCCTCTACCTCAGTCACTGCCCCCCGATTTCCGGCTGGAGACCACGGCCCCAGCCCTCAGCCCCCGCTCCAGCTTCGCCAGTAGCTCCGCCAGCGACGCGAGCAAGCCGTCCAGCCCCCGCGGCAGCCTGTTGCTGGACGGCTCGGGGGCCGGCGGGGCGGGAGGAAGCAGGCCCTGCAGCAACCGCACCAGCGGCATCAGCATGGGCTACGACCAGCGCCACGGGAGCCCCCTGCCCGCGGGACCGTGCCTGTTTGGGCCGCCGCTGACCGGGGCCCCGGGAGGCTACTCCCCCGGAGGGGTCCCGTCCGCCTACCCGGAGCTCCACGCCGCCCTGGACCGACTCTGCGCTCACCGGCCCGCCGGGTTCGGCTGCCAGGAAAGCCGCCACTCGTATCCCCCGGCCCTGGGCAGCCCCGGGGCGCTAGTCGGGGCCGGAGGGGGAGCAGCGGGGCCCCTGGAGAGGCGCGGGGCGCAGCCCGGACGACACTCGGTGACCGGCTACGGGGACTGCGCGGCCGGCGCCCGATACCAGGATGAGCTCTCTGCTTTGCTGCGCCTGACGGCGGGCGCCGGGGGCCGAGAGGCTGGCGCCCGCCGGGAACCTTCGGGGATCGAACCGTCGGGTCTCGAGGAGCCACCGAGTACGTTCGTCCCAGAGGCCGCCCGAGCCCGGATGCGCGAGCCGGAAGCCCGCGAGGACTACTTCGGTGAGCCAGAGGTGGCTGGGCTGCGGGGAGGGGGCACCTTCGACTCGCCGGTGCCCCGACGGGCGATTGCGGGTGTGCAGGGGTCGGTGACGGAGACGCTGGATCAGAGGAGAGGCTCGAGGGATGGATGGGGCGGATCCCAGGGCGCTTTTTCCTTCCCTACTGGCTTTCAAATGGACCAGGACTCCTCATTCTGCTAAATTTAATTCGCTTATTACCTCGTGAGTCCCAATTTCCAGCGTTAGCCTCAGATTTAGCACTAGGAAGGAAGCCTTGTGGGGAGGGGACCCACTGGGTAGGGGGAGCGTCCCCCTCCCAGCCGCCCCGGCCCCGGGTCCCCGATGTGCCCCTACAGGCTCCGGCGTGCGGCGCCCCCACCCGGCCCGGCTCCGCCCGCAGGAATTCGGGGAATGCGCGGGGCGGGCGGGCCGCGTGCGTGCCGACTCCTGCCCTGGCGCTCCAGGTGCCCGCGGGCGGGGCCCTCCGAGGGGTGGGGTGCGCGCCCGGAATGGGGCGCTTCCCAGCGCACGCGGAGCCTTGTCGCTGTCGGGGAAGTGGAGCTTAGGAGGAAGGATGGAGCGCCCGGGAACGGAAACCAGGAACTCAAGTGTTGCCCAGCCCCGGTCCTGCTGGTGAGGTGCGCCGTGGGCGTCTAAGCAGATCCCCTGGTGCCAGCCTGTGTCTTACCAGACCTCTGGAAGTCAGAGCGGAAGTCATGATCTCCGAGACACCATCGTCCCTGGACGGAACTCGAGCCTCCCTGACTACCGGAAATCACCTGGTCTTGAGTTCTGGCCATGACATGGGCAAAACTGAGGCTGGAAGTAGCTCCTACTTTCCTGCTTTGTGCGAGAAGTATACATTGACGATGTGTCCCAGCTGAGGGGATTAACGGGGTCTTGAACGATCCTTTTGTAAACATGCACGGGCACTAACTGCTGCACTAGATAAAGCAGCGCCGGTTCAGGTGTGAGGAGCAGAGCTCTTCAGTTTTCTAGACCTTTCCTCCGCACCTGCCTCCCCCGTGCCCGCCGCCGGGACCAGTGTTTTTGGAGTCCATTGGTAGAAGCGTGAACAGGGCGAGAGCAGCAGCTGGGCGGGCCTGGCTGGGGAGGAAGTGCAGAGGTAGTGAAGCCGCGGGGGAGGGGCCGCTGACCCCCACCCCCACCCCCAGTCCATTCTTTTCTCCCACCCCAGAGAGGAAAGCCCAGAGCAGAGGATGCGAGGTCACTTTGATCAAGGGAGACTGAGTGACAGCTTGTTTAGCAGTTTCCTTTGGAGGCCCAGGAGAGGTAGCTGGGAAAGATGTCTCTTTGGCCAAACCATGGGAGCCAAAAGGAAGAAAGGAACGCAGAGAAAGTGCAATAAAATGGCAGGAAGAAGCTAGGTGTGGACGTGCTGGGTGAGAGGAGGTGAGGCAGACACGCCTGAGCAGTTTCCTCTCCCGTCTTCCCGTAGTGTTCTGGGCTTCCAAGGAATGGCTCCGACAGGACCCCCTGGCGGGCACTCTTGGGCAGGTCTCCTCCCTGTGGAGGCTGCATTGTGAATTCAGCAGTGGGGCACCTCTCCCTGGGGCCAACTTGCCTCCCCTCACAGAACCATGCAGAACCCTGTGCCCCAGGCCTGGCTCCACTGTCCCCTCTGCCCCAGGAGGGGCCCTCTTCCCTGGCTTCAGCCTTGCCCAGCTGCCAGAGGGTGGGAGCAGGGCAGGCCTGGGCCCATCAGTTGCTGCAGCTGCTGCACAGGCTCCCAAGCCCCTGGGCAAAGCCTGGGATGGGCCCAGACAGGCAGGGAGTGTGGCAGTGTGCCGGGGGAGAGGTGGGGCGGGCCCGTTGGGATCTGCTCCCCAGAAACAGGCCCTAGCTCTCACTCATGGGCCTGGAATTGGGGAGTGGAGGGGAGGAAGAACACACCCAGGAAAGGCGGGCGCTAGGGCCAGGTGCATGTCTTAGTTGGGGATTGAACCCAGGGCCTTGACACCGGGCTCCATTTCCCAGCCCTTTTTTGAATTTTATTTTGAGACAAGGTCTTGTGAAGTCACTAAGTTGCCCAGGCTGGGCTGGAACTTCATCCTCCTGCTGCAGCGTCCTAGAGTGCTAGGAATACAGGCATGCGCCACACGCTGGGCTGGGGGGGTGAGGAGGAGCAGCTCAGCTCTGTGTCTCTGTGATGGGTGGCACGTGGTCATGAGGCGTCTGCCACCTTCCCTCCCGTCCTGTGCAGCCCTGGTCCCTTCCCTGAGCACAGCCTGCATTCTCACCGCCCGCCACTCCCCTGCAGGGCTCTGCTGAGCCAGAGCCTTCTGAAAACTGAGGCTCTAATGCTTGAGCTGGGGGAACTCCTGAGATACCTCTTGCAAGGTACAGAGGAGAGAAACCTTTGTGTATCTGAATGGCAGCTCGTTTTTCAGACAGGAAAACTGAAGCCCCAAATGCTTCCTGGGCCTGGCCTGCTTTCTCTAGAAAGTTATTTGTTGGTCTTGTTTTGAGTCTGCTGCTGAGCCCTGGGACTGCCCTGTCTGACCATTTGTCCCAGGCTTGACTGTTGAGTGTTTTCTCAACAGATGCTAAGCACCCAGAGGCCGAGAGCCGGATCTTTGACTTTCCTAGTTTGCTTCAGGATTGAGTGCTGTGGTGCGCACAACTGTCGGGTAATCAAGTGAACAAGAGCAGATCTGCCCAGCCAGGATCTTGCCGCATCCCATTGCTCGCCGCCCTCCTCCGGGGGGGAGGTAGCCCAGGAGCGAGAGGCTGAGTCTTCCAGCACAGTGCAGTCAGTGAGGCTTGGGGGTCCCTGGCTCTGAGCTGTGGTGGGGGTGGGAGCTGACCACCTCCTTTCTCCCCAGGTACCTGTATCAAGTGCAACAAAGGCATCTACGGGCAGAGCAACGCCTGCCAGGCCCTCGACAGCCTCTACCACACCCAGTGCTTTGTCTGCTGCTCCTGCGGTGAGTGGGGCAGCCCCTCCCACACCCAGACCCTCGCAAGTGCTGTGGGCCGGAAGGACAGCTCAGGCCTCTTCAGCTGGAGCAGCTGGCTGCATCCCCACGAAGTGTGTGGAAGCCCACAGCCTCCCCACCTTCACGTTGGCGTCCCCCCTGGGCTCCACCCGGCCTCCCCCACCCGTGCTGCCCAGCCTCCCTGCCACTGGTCAGCCTCCTGCCTCGTCTCGGCTTCCTTCTTTCTTCTGCCGCCCTGCTTGCCCAGCCTGGACTCCCGCCTGGCCCTCAGCGGCTCCTGCTCCTCAGTGGAGTTTGGTCTTGGGCCGCCGAGTTGCCTGGGGTGACAGTGAAAGGCTGGAATGTGGGAAGGGCGGGTGTGGGCTGGGGGAGTGTGGAGCCATGGGGGGCCGAGAGGGGGGTTTTCTCTTGGCTGGTCAGAGTTCAGCCACCTCGCTGGAGTGCAGGCCACCAGGCTGTGCCAAGCTGATGACATCACGCTCCAGGAATGCCCACTGCTGCTGTTGGCTCCGGAGGCCCTGGGGGGTGTGCCGGGCAGCCTTGACTCCCCCGCCCTGCCCTCCCTCACCTCTCTCATTACCCCTTCCCGCCACTCACCCCTCTGCTAAACCTTTAATCTCCTATCTCTGCCTGTCTGACTTGACTCCGGCACTCAGCTTTGCTCGCGCTCCCCCAGGTTCTCCCTGGTTTTCTTTAGATTCGTTTGTCTGTCTGCACTTTTTATAGGGTCTCTTTCCTCCTCTGTACCACGAGGCTTGTCATCAATAAGTCAATTTTTCTCAGTCCCTGGGCAGAAGTAGAAGTGGAGATTTTGTTGGTGGAAGGCAGAAGTTGGGGAAATCGCCTGTTCTCCACCGCTTTCCCTTCCCCATTGCCCCGATGGCTTAGACGCCGTGGAGCGGTGCCTGGGTGTTGGTCAGGTGGGGAGTGGCCCCGCCCTTCTGCATGTGGGACATCCTGGGCCGCTGTGGACCGTGACGACTCTGGGTCCCTCTAAGCTTGAAGAGCAGCCTGATAGGGCAGGAAGGGGATGGCTTTGCTCCCAAACAAAGCTTTGTCCCCAGCAGCTGCTCTAGCGCCCTGACTCCGTAGTCTGTTCCTAGAAGGAGCTCGGCGGGCTGTGCTGAGGCAGGGACTCCGAGGTTGAAATGCCCCAGAGGGCCAGGTCTGGGACAGTGTGCCTCTCTCTGTGCGAACGGCACAGCACCTGGCGCAGAGCTCCTCGCCAGGCACTCTGACAGGTGCTCCCAGGTGGGCACCTGAGAGAGACTTTGGGGGACCCAAGAGCCAGGGGCACGGTGAGCGGAGGCAGAGGGGGTGACTGCAGTGATTCCAGTTGCATCAGCTGGGACTTGGTGTGGGGAGGGAGGAGACAGCCGTCTGGAGGAGCAGCATGAAGTCTGGGTTTAAATGTGCCGTGTGCACCCCGGGGAGCAGTGGCAGCAGAGGAGGGGAGTCCCGGGCCTGGGCTCCAAGAGAGGTTCCAGCCCCGCTCTGCTGCTTCCAGGGCGGACTTTGCGCTGCAAGGCTTTCTACAGTGTCAACGGCTCTGTGTACTGTGAGGAAGACTATCTGGTGAGTGCGGCTGTGGGTCTGGTACTGGTTCCCACGCTGGGACCCCTGGGGCTCCATCCCTGGTAACCTCCTCCCCCGTCTCTCTAGTTTTCAGGGTTTCAGGAGGCGGCTGAGAAATGCTGCGTCTGCGGTCACTTGATTTTGGAGAAGGTAAGGAAAGTGCCTTGAGCTGAGGCTGAAGCTTGAGGCCTGAGGGATGGAACCCGGGACGAGCTGGACACAGAGAGGTCAGGGAGGAAGCCTATCCGCATGAGTCACATTTTTGCCATTCCTCCCAGAGCAGCTGTTTACAGTCCTTCCCCCTGCCTGTGAGATGAGCCCGGGCTCCCAGTCCATCCCAGGCTTCTGGGACTTTGCAGGCACAGCCAGTCCCTCAACCTGAGCAAGGAGCAAGGCTCCCAAGTCTTACTCCCTTCCCGTTACTGCTAGGGATCAGCTGGAACTCAGTTTTCTTTTCCATTTAAAGGAAAGATTGGGGGCAGGCATAGTGGCCGGCACCTATAATCCAGTACTTGGGAGGCTGAGGCAGAAGGATCTCAAGTTCAAGGCTAGTCTGGGCTACATAGTGAGACTCTTAAAAAAAAAAAGCTGGGCATGGTGGCACACTTGTGATCCCAGCATTCTGGGAAGCTGAGGCAGGAGGACTGAAAGTTTGAGTCCAGTTTAGGCAACTTAGTGACTTACAGCCTGTGTCAAAATAAAAAGTAAAGAAGAGCTGCTGACATAGCTCAATGTTCAGTCCCCGATACTGAAAGAAAAAGAAATTTTTAAAAAAGGATTAGATTTGATGAGTAATTTTCAACCCTGGCATCCTAGCAGGTCTTTTTGTCTTTTTGAGATAGGGTCTCACTGTGCAGTTTAGGCTGGCCTTGAGCTCATTTTGTAGCCTGGGCTGGTTTTGAACTTGAAACAATCTTCCTGCCTCAGCCTCCCAAGTGCTGGGATTACAGGCATGCGCCACCAAGGCCCCCCAGATCACATTTTGCTAAAAGGTTTGAAGTGGGACCCAGGCATTGATTTCTTTTTTCCCCTTGTACTTGGGGGTGAGCCCAGGCCCTCTGCCTGCAAGGGAAGCACTCTACCACTGAGGTACATCCCCAGACATTTTTGTGTTTATTTTGAGGCAGCATCTTGCTAAGTTGTCCAGACTGGTCTTGAACTTTCAATCCTTCTGCCTCAGCCTTCTCTGTAGCTAGGATTATAAGCATGCACCACCATGCCTGGTTGTACTGTTCCTTATTTTTTATTTTATTTTTTTATTTTTTATTTTTTTGTTTGTTTGTTTTTGTTGTACTATTTTTTAAAAGCTTCCTGGTGATCCTAAAATTGGAGCCTAGCTGCATGTGGTGACACACGCCTGTAATCCCAGCACTCGGGAGGCTGAGGCAGGAGGGTTGTGACTTTGAGGCCAGCCTTGGCTACAAAGTGAGCTCAAAGTCAGCCTGAACTGCATACTGAGACCCTGTCGCAAAAAAAAAAAAAGATAAAATAAAATAAAATTGGAGCCCAGGATTAAAATCCACTGGCCTAAGTGATCTCTAGTGCTTCCCTCAGTGTTTCTGCCTTTATTTTTGGACACCTTGGTCCCCTCAAATAGCATTTTTCTAGGAGGACGGCAGGGTGTGGGATGTGATTAGGAGAAGGTGCAGGAAACAAAGTGTGGCTGGACAGCTGGGACCGAGGGAGATGGAATCTCCTCCCTCTCTGTGAGCAGATCCTACAGGCCATGGGGAAGTCCTATCACCCGGGCTGCTTCCGGTGCATCGTCTGCAACAAGTGCTTGGACGGTGTCCCCTTCACCGTGGACTTCTCCAACCAGGTGTACTGCGTCACTGACTACCACAAGTGAGTCTGGCCTTGGGGTGTGCGGGCCTGGGTCCTGGGCTTCCCCCGCCTCATCTCACTGCTGCCTTCTTTCTCTCTTTCAGAAACTACGCCCCCAAGTGTGCGGCCTGCGGCCAGCCCATCCTCCCCTCCGAGGTCAGTGTGGGCGCTGCTTTGGGGCGGGGCGGAGACTTGTGGCCTGGCCTCCTCCCCCGGGAGGTGGTGGTGCCGAGGAATGTAGTCTTCAGAGATTCCCGTGTGACTCTGCTCTTGGGGCAGCCACCCTGACCCCAGCATCCGGGCCTGGACGTGTCTGATAGCCTTGCTGCGCCCAGCTCTGTGTCTTCCGTCCCAGTAAGGGCTGGGAAAAGGGGCAGAGCCCTCAAGGCGGGTAGATGGGTCGTGTGTGTAGAGCGTGAGCCCAGGGAGCAAAGCCAAAGGCCAGTGAGGAACTGGACCCTCCCGGGCCTCCTCGTCTCCAGCCCAGCTTTGGTTATGTATCCCTCTGTCCCTGTCGCCTCCCTCTGCCTCCCCCACACCTGGGAGCACCAGGGAAGGCCCGACCCCAGTGCCCTGCCTAGGGACGCACTGGGCAGCGCCCGGCGGCGGGGGGAAGCTCAGCTGCTGCAAGAGCGTACTAAAGCCTGGGGATGGTTTACTTGATTTCCGAGAGGGCCTGGAAGCCTCTGTGTGATTATTCTACTGGGACAGGAGGCTCCCAGGCAGGGAGGAGGAGCAGCTGGGGGCATCGTGTTGCTCTCACCTCGTGGGGTCTGCATGTTTCAGGGCTGTGAGGACATCGTGAGGGTGATTTCCATGGACCGTGATTACCACTTTGAGTGCTACCACTGTGAGGTGAGTGTTGGGCCCAGAGCCGCAGCTCATAGTGTGAAACTGGGAGGGAGTAGGTGGCGAGTCCTCGGTCCCATCCATCTATGGCAAATGCAGGGCAGAGGGTCAGGAAGCTGCTGGACACTGGGGTGCACACTTGGGACTTGTAATCCCAGCACTTGGGGCCGAGGCAGGAGGATCACAGGAGTTCAAAGCCACCCTGAACTACGAAGTGAGGCCCATTCCCTTTCCCACCCTCCAGCCGCTCTCTGTGGTCCTACTTCGGTACTTTTGAGTCTGGCTTCCCCAGCCCACAAGGTAAAACCAGGGATTGCTAGTTAACTGCTGGGCTTGGGGGTTTGTCTCATTATTTCTGCTGCAGCAGCGACACCTGGTGTCCAGATGAAGTATTTTCTCATCCATTCTTTCTGCCAGCTAAGACCTCCTGCCCTAGATACTCTTTCTTCCAGTCTTGTGAAGTTGAGCAGGGCTGACTCCCAAGAGGTCCTCAGTGTCCCGCGAGCCTGGACTGAGCTGAGCTGAACTAGGTGTCTTCTTCCCCAGGACTGCCGAATGCAGCTGAGTGACGAGGAGGGCTGCTGCTGTTTTCCTCTGGATGGGCACTTGCTCTGCCATGGCTGTCACATGCAGCGACTCAGTGCCCGACAGCCTCCTGCCAAGTATATCTGAGCTGGAGTGGGTGCTGCTGCCGTCCTCACGGCGGGTGAACTCCTCTGGCCAGTGGACCCTCCGAGGCCAGCTGAGGGAAGCAATGAGCTCCACAGTGCTGACAGAAGAGTCCTCTGGGGAAAGCCCCAAGGCCAGAGACCCAAAGATCCTAACATTCCAAACAGACCAATGAGGGTGCCCGGTGTGCGCAGGGCGCAGGCTCCAGCCCTCTCTGAACGTGGGGTCCCGGCCCCTGTTTCCAGGGTGTTTGTGCATACGAGAGTTTTGTGCCTGGGTGACGAGAGAGGGCGTCATGAGTTCCTGGTTCCCGTGCACCCCATATGTGGTATCAGGCCTCGGGCCAGCAGGTGTCCCCACAGTGCCCTCTCCGTACCTAGACGAGGAAGTGGAAACCCTGGCCTTTTTTCAGGAGTGAGTTCTCGTCCTCTCTAAGGATGGGAAATCTCCTCATCCCTCCGCTGGGAATGGGGGCCAGCTCCAGGTGGGCCTCGACCCGCATTGCCTGTTTCTCAGGGACTCACATAGGCCTGGGCAGGCTGATGGGGGCTGTCCTTGGTCGCTCTTCTTAGCTGGGAGGTGACAAGTGTCCTGTGTGGGTGTGGGACTTGCTGGGTGGTGTGACTGGGAAGCTTCAGGCCAGCTCCCTTCCACATGTGGGTCCACTGCACCCTCTGCCAGGAAAGGTCTGCATGGGTGCGTTCATGTGTGCGGGTGTGCGAGCACGCTTAGCATCACCCCTTCCTCTCAGGTCATTCTTACACTTGGTTCCCTAGTCATAGTTTACCTCCAGAACGGCCACTCCCAGTGGACTTCCACTTATATCCACTGCAACCCCCAAACGCAGGTTTAGGGGTACCAGGAGGAGGAGTGAGGTACTTTGCTTCCAGTCAGTTTGACTGAAACTTGAATTTACCTAAAATTACATTTCCTAAAACCACTTCACCACAAACGTGTTTGCTTAAAGTGCAGTTCTCTTAATGAGCAGTTTTATGAAAGCGAAATTCCTTCTTGGGGTACTTTTATTTATATTCGTTTAGGTATTCTGTTCCTTTCTGACACACTCGAGTATTTCAAGGATTTATATCTAGTCATTGAAGAGTTAACTACCAGTAACACAAATTTCTCAAATTTGCAGCACTTTGTAAATGTAAGATTGCTTCCTACCTTTGTGTATGTCTTTTTTTCTATGTTACCTACTTTTCAAACACTTTTTAAAAAGCTTAAAGGTTCTAGCAATAAATACAGTTGGTGCAGACATTTTGCATATGATGTTCTGTGTTTCTTAATCCAGTATCCCTTTACAAATTAGATGCCTTGAGCTAGGTGTGCTACCGCACACCCGTCATCCCAGCACTCAAGAGGCTGAGACAGGAGGATCGCCCTATGAGTTTGAGGCCAGCCTGGGCTACATAGTGAGTTGAGGGCCAGCCTAAACTACATAGTCAGATCCTGTCTCCAAAGAAAAATTAGATGCCTTAAGGGAGCTCAGCATGACTGTGGTGTTCTGGTCTGACTTCTGCATTGGTGTTCAGATGCTAACACATCAGCCATAGCACGTGTATAGTCTTAGCATTCTAGGAGGCTGAAGTAGGATCACAAGTTTGAATCCAGCCTGAGCAATTTAGCAAGACCGTCTCAAAATAGAAAATAAAATTTTTTTAAATGGGTGGGGGGCTGGGGATTTAGCTCAGCGGCATAGCACCTGCCTGGCAAGCATGAGGTGAGTTTGATTCCCAGTACCAGAACAAAAAAAATAAATGTGGGTTGGGGATATAGCTCAATGCAAAGGCATAATTCAGTCTTTCGTACAAAAAAAAACAACACAAACAGGCATGAGGCCTATATTCAGTTGTCAGCAAAGTTTAGACAGGTAACAGCAATAAAAGTAAAAAGGTGAATCTGCTGTAAAGTAATGCAGCCAGGTGTGGTGCATCCCTCTAATCCCAGCACTGGGAAGCCTGAGGCAGGAGGATTGTTATGAGTTCAAGGCTAGCCTAGGCTACACAGTGAGTTTAAGGCAGCCTGAACTACATAGACTCACCTCTAAAACCAGAACAACCCCCCCAAAAAAATTGCAACAGATCTGATAACTATTTAGACCGAGTGGCTCTAAATTAGTTAATTTTAGGCAATTTTCTCTGGTAATCTTTGATCCCAAGTCTTCTCCGTTCAGTGATTTTCCTAAGGAAACAACTCCCAAAGACGTAGACACCACCTTCAGGGCTACTGTGAGACGCCAGGCCAGGAACCCTGGGAATTACATAGAAAAGGGCCCCAGGCGAGGAGGCGTTCGGGTTCCCATCACTGAGTGCAGAGGGAGGAGACACACTTTTCTGGAGAGAGAAATGCGTTCTGAGACTAGATGACTTGTACAGCTGAGATTGCGCCTTCGGAACTATTACTGAGTAATGTAGTGCAGAGACCCTGCGACTGGCAGATTATTCTCACCAGGCTGCCCCAGGCCTGGAAAAACCAGACAAGCGTGCAGCTTTCTACCCTCCCCCGTGGCTGTCTTCACTTGGGGCTCCTGACCAGGGGCTGTTGACCACCGTCATTTGGCTTCCTTCTGTCTGACCTTATTCCTTGCTAGGTCTGTGCTGATCTGTCCTACCCTGGGGCTCCCCAAGACGCTACCCTTGCTGGGGGGACTACTCTGACTTTTTCCCAAAGGAGGATGAGTGGTAATGCTTGAAAAGGGCAGGCTGTGGCCCAAGAGCAGCCCCAGCACCCCACATCACCAGCTGCAGGCTCCCATGTGTGCCCTGCGCCCCGGGAGCTTCCTGCATGCTGGAAGACAGTGCCTCTTAAATATCTCTTTAAAATTTGCGGTTGCTGGCGAGAGATTTATGAGACGGCGCCAATGGTACAGAAAAATAAGACATTGTTTGGCCAACCTGCCACCCAGCTATCACGTTATCACCTGAGATGGAGAAAGGAAGGCAATGGAAGAATTAAGTTCCTTTCTGGGTCTAGACAGTCATGGACTCGCTTGGTTTTGGTTTTTGGTTTTGTTTTATTTTTTGGTTTGTTTGGTTTTTTGTTTGGAGATGGGTCTCATTGTGTTACCCAGACTCATTTTGAACTGCTGGGAGATCCTCCTGCCTCAGCCTCCCAAGTGGTGAAGGTCAGGCTGGGACCACACATTTCAGCTCTTTGCTCTGGACAGCCCAGGTTGCCACAGACCCAAATATGGATTATGAAGAATGAGGCTAAGATGGCCCACCTGCCTCACCCTTTTGAGACATGGCTTCTCCTGCTCCACCACCGGCAGCTCTCAGGGCCCTGTGAAAAGGTAAGGCTCCATTTATAACCAGGCTGGAACCATCCTTAGTTCGGGAAGAGGCAGAGAAAGCTATTTCCAGGCACATAAAGCTAATTAGATGAGGTCTTTCAGACTGTACCTCTACCCCATAAAAAGAACGATAGGACTTAAAAAGATTAGAAAATGGGTGAGCAAACGCGTTTGTATTTAGTTTGTGTTTTAGAAGCACCCATACCTTTGGCCTGGCTTGGGGTCACTCAGGGCCCTCAGCATGAGAAGCCACAGGGTCTGCCAGTCCTGGTCCTCTGTCTTCTCCATCCCCTCTGCTGTACAGAGCAACCAGGCCTCTGGCATGCCAGTCAGACAAACGCCCCTGGACATCCGCAAGGCTCCTGCTGGGGCAGAGTGCAGGAGTAGGGCACTTGCCCATGTGCTGGAGGCCCTGGAGGCCCCAGTACTGCAAACACGAACAAAGGCTTGACCTTGAAAAGTGAGAGCGAGTGACTCCTGAGAGATATGGATTAGATCAGTCTAACTGCTGCAGTAGGGTGGGCATTGGGGCCTGTCCTGGTTCCTGCAGATGTTCCTTGGGAAGGTTAGTGCTGACTCCTGTGAAGGGAGAGACGATGCTGGACATGCAGAGAGGGACAGGCCAGGAGAAATACCTACTAAGAATCCTAGTCACAAGCCCAGTGTGATGGCACATGCTAAGGCACTAGAGAAGCTGAGGTAGGAGGACTGCCGTGAGTTGGAGGCCAGCCTAGGTTGCAGAATGAGTTCAAGGTCATCCTGAACTACGTAAGGAAACCCTGTCTCAGAACAAAACAAAGCAAAGCAAAACAAAACAAAAACTACTAGACAGGCCTGGGGATAGAGCTCAGTGGCATAAGCGCCTGCCTAGCAAGCACAAGGTCTTGAGTTTGATCCCCAGTACCACAAAAAAACAAAAAACAAAAAACAAAAAAACTACTAGACAAAGTCTCACTGTGTATTTCAGGCTGGCCCTGAGTTCACTATGTAGCCGAACCTACCCTGGAACTCGGCAGTCCTCCTGCTTCATCCTCCCTAGTGCTGCGATTACAGGCGTGCACCGCCAGGTCTGGCCGAGGTATAATTTTAGACAGATTTCAGCTACCTCGTTATAATGAAGGAAGAAATGGAAAGTCTGAGTGGTGGTGACTTGCCCAAGGTCACTGAGGGATAATGACTTTACCACTTTTGAAGACTAATAAAAGGCTATTTCCTCTCTCCCTTCCCATCCCCCACCACACAGGTAAACTGTGAAGGTTGACTGTAAGTGACATAAGCACTTTTTTTTTTTTTTTTTTCTGATACTGAGAATCGAACTCACGACGTTGCACTTGCCAGGCCCCGTATAAGCACTTCTTATACCAGAAAATCCCCAAGCCCTGTATAAGCACTTCTTATACCAGAAAATAAGAGAAAGCCAAGGAACATAACCAATGAAGGAAAACTCTTGGTTCTTACCAGTGCTTTTTTATTAGTCCTAACTACAGCCAAAGTACCTGCAGAAACACAATAGTTGAACCTGAGAAAATATGCTGCCAGATCATCTCTGCCCTTCTGGAGGGCACAGTCTAGCCAGGGAGACAAACACACAAAATGACTGGAAAGATTACAACAGCGTGTCAAGAAGTGCAGAGTAATTGATTGTTACAAATAAAAGACGTAATGCTGGAGGGTACGGCGTCAGGAGCGAGGCTTTGGCCTAGACTGTAGATCAGGAGGTGGCAGCCACCAGGCTAACCCCTCCCCCAAGTGAACTGAGCTTTATTATGTTGTTGTTCCTGGTGCTGGAGACGGAACCCGGGGCCTTGTGCACACTAGGCACACATTGCACAACCGAGCTCACCTCAGCCCAACTTCCTAATAATGTTAATTAGACCCCAGTTGAGAAGGAAAATGCCAGCTAATAAATGCAGCAGGAATGACAGGATTGGAAAAACAGCATTTTGTGAACTCTAGTAAAATGATTGATTCTGGCAAAGATTGTTTTTTTTTTTTTGGTACCAGGAATCGAACTCATGACCTCAGGCTTACCAGGCAAGCGCTTATGCCACTGAGCTATATCCCCAGCTGGTAGATTGTTAATTTCTGTTAAAATGGGCGTTGGTCTGAAGGGTTGGGCTGGGGATATAGCTCAGTGGCATAAGTGCCTGTCTGGCAAGCACAAGGTCCTGAGTTTGATTCTCCGGTACCAAAAAAAAAAAAAAAAAAAAAAAAGTAGAAGGGTTGGGAGCAGTGGTGGCGGCAGCGGCAGCTGTGGCAGGGGCGGCCCTCAAGAGGAGACTGCAAGGCCGGGCGTGGTGGCACATGCTTGTAATCCCAGCCCCCAGGAGGCTGAGGCAGGAGAATCTTTGTGAGTTTGAGACCAACCTGGGCTACAAAGTGATCTCAAGGCCAGCCTGAACTGCATAGTGAGACCCTGTCTCAAAAGACCCTGTCTCAAAAAAAAAAAAAAAAAAAGAGGAGACTGCAGGTGTGGGTGAGGAGGCAGAGCGTCAGAGAAAAAGCAGCTGGGAGGTCTGGGTCCCCTCGAAGAGGGGCTGAGTGCAGGGAGCTCCTTGCTGAAGACTGAGCTGGTTTGGATGAGCAGGGATTCGCAAAGGTCTGGAGAACTGGGGTGATGACCGCGCAGCAGGTGACTTCCCAGCCAGCTGCGAGCAGAGCTGGAGACGTCCCGGCAGCGGGCAGAGTTGAAGAGCCCTCTATCGCACCTGCATGCTAAATTCTAGGACAGAGAGCTGGAGGTGGAGCACTAAAAACATGTTCATTTCCTTATTGGGGTGGGTATTTTTGTTTTTGTAACAAAGTATAACTGTTTTGACCTAGGAGGAGGAGGAGATGAATGGGGGAAGCAGAAGAAAAAGAACCTAGGATGCAGGGCAGGGCGGGATGCAGGGCAGTGCTAAGGCCCGGGTGCAAGCAGGCCTGGGGGTGTAGGTTAGAGCCAGAGGGCTGGCCTGGCATCCGT